ATGTTGGTGGCTTCAGCAACCCTCCTTCTTGACAGAGGATTGGATTACCTGTTTTTTTTTTCCAAAAAAGGAAAATATTTACATTGTTTGCACCAAGGGGTAAGACAGATTTACTCTGAGTTGCATTTTTACAGCGAGTAACTCGTGAGTAACTCAATGTACCTCAAAATTAAATTGACGTGCATCGATTTTTTGCCTCTTTACCTCTTGGCTTACTCCGTTTATCCCTCCGTTTAGAAAACGGCTCCACCGAGGAGAACGAGAAATCGTTGCGGGCAATCACTGGCATATAACTCAAGAACGAAACATGCTTCGAATATAATAAATAATAGTTAAAAGAATAACAAATAAAACAACAAAACAATTTTTATCCTTCTGGATGAAATATCTTCTTTAAAGTAGTTATGTTAATCTTGAACAAACACTTCCGTTGACGGCTGCAGGTGGTGTATTGCAGAAAGCGGACCACATCACGATTATTCAGAAAGCACAGCAGTAGCACCAGAAGTGTGAGCATGTCCGCTCGCAGCAGAACGGCGCCATGGGAATCCAGTGGTTGGTTCGTAGTTTCATCTAGAGTATTGAGCGATGGGAATGGAATCGCTTCGACGAGTATCAGAGGACGTGCAGGGTACGTATAATTTGCCGGATCTGGAGTATTTGGTCAGGCGGATTGAGTTCTTCTCAAGGGGTAGGTCACTCCGCACACCAATCTTGAGTCATCTTTTTTGTCAGTGTGCCGCAAGTATGTCGATTGTGCCGGTCATAGAGCAAGCTGCGATTGTTTGTAAAACACCCATCCCGGCAACCCGGTATTTCTGACGCCTTGAATGTTTTGGTTTGAAATCGCAAGGATAAATCGGATTGAGGATGACGCGGGAAGTGGCGAGTGTGCGAAATTTCGGTGTTTTGTGATCCATAGGGTAATAAAAGTCCTGTGTTTTAGTGTTTTATAATGGCAAACCAAAGCCAAAGGCAGACCAGAAACCTAGCCTTTCGGCCGGAAAGAGTTGGAACCGGTGGGGAGCACTGTTGGAGACCGACTATAGAGGGTGATGAATAGGCTTCTTTAGTTTGTTTTGTGGGAATTGCAGCATTATTTGAAATAAGGGTACTAATGAGGTCTGATCAACTGTCTCTTTCTCTTCAGCCCACTCTGGAACCTACATTTCGTATTTAGATCTATAAGTGAACAGCTGGTCTGAGTTCCTCTGGTATATTCAATTAGAAGATGTTCCTGAACATACAGTCAAACAGCACGTAATGTTCTGAACAACTTCAATGACACTTGTCCAGCAGTGGTCCCATTTTATTTACAACAATTTAATGCCTACAAGATCGTGCCGAAGGTATGCTGAAAATGTGCCGATGGATGTTCCCAAGCTGTGCCGAATATAATTTCGGCACAATGTGCTGAGTGACTTACCCCTTGGTTCTTCTACCAAATCGAGCCGGATGTTTCTTTTTTGTTTTTTTTTGCTTGACAGCAGCTTTTCGGCCTCGCACCTCCATATGTTGCTATGATGCGAAAAGTGAGAAAGCAAATGACAGTGATCTTGCTCAATGAGCAACGTGAGTTACTCGAGGTGCCTCAAAAGCAACTCTGAAATTGCTCATGATTAGGAGCTGTCTTGCCCCTAGGTTTGCACCAAAGAATAGTTCTCTCTTTTATCATTCTTGTTTTTGAACGGATTTCATTAAATTTAGTCTGCCTTGTATCGCCAGAAAAAAAAAACGGAATGGTGTGATCAAATAAGGCTTTAAAGGATATCCTGCATCTCTTGTTGACAAATTGGTTTAGATTTAATAAATTTGACATGCGTTTCATTTTTGTTATTTTTACCCACAAGCTAAGAGTTTCTTTCCCCATTCTGGTGTTGCTGATTTAGCTCAACATCCAACGCATTATTATTCCAGATAAATGAATCACATGAGGGCTGTTAGCATCCACGTATCGAATTATCTGTTGATGATCACAAACCTTTAAAGAGTGTACAAGAATAATAATTCATGTTGATGCTACAAATAATCATACATACTAGCATAACATTCAAACTGTGAAATCCTTTTCTGTTGTAATGAAGATGCTGAATATTGCTAACCGGCTTAAAAATTTGAACTATTACCAACAATCAATACGAAACTAACGATTTTAAATTGGCTCACTACTTGACTAGCCTATTGGTCCCAAGCAAATCGATTAACGTATCCCATTATAGTCAAAATTCTCTTACTACACAATGTTTGTTTTGATTCGCTACACGAAACGAAAATCAATTATTTTATTCATCTGTTTCACTTATACATTTTTGCCAAAGCATCAGCCTTATACATTCCATAAGACAAACCACATAGGTCCTACAAGAATGCATAAAAGGTATGTGTGACCGCTTATACATTTCATTTGACACATGAGCTTCATTAACTTTTTGCAAGGCGTCTGCTTATTAGTTGACTTATACATTTTATGAATAATCAGCAATAGAAATTTGCCAAAAGGTATAAGGAGATTTCTATCCGTGTGTGAAAGTTTGACAGATAAAATGAGGGGTTAATCGATTTTCCTATGTTTCGAGGGGTGAATCGATTAGCTTGGGACCGAAGATAGTACCAGAGCTGAGCCAAAAAGTTGAGCACGTTTCTTCTTATCTTGGAAAATTCGGAAAATTCTTATCTTGGAAGCTCAAGTGGAAGCTCCTTCTGACTTCCCTTAGGAGTCCTATTTGGCTTTCCCTGAAAGTGTCTTCTGACTTCTTATGGAAGTTCCTCTAAACTATCTTTGAATATGAATTGACTTCCGAGGCGAATGGCGGTAGTGAAAAAGAACTGTCAAAAGTGCCATCAATAACAATACAACAATGATGTTGTTGCTTTCCGTAAATGTCGGAAGTAGGTTCGAAAGTAGGAATTCAGACTTCCGAACTTTAATTTAGTACTGGCGTCACGTTACCAAAATACAAATGTAATAACGCAACTAATCATCTTTTGGCAACAAAACCTGTAGCGCTATGTTCAAATGTTACGCGAGAAATCCCGCAAATATGAATAAAAAATTTACATCGATTCCATTTCTTTCCCAGTATACGCAAACCAAAAAAATATTACATTCAATGTTAGTTGCGTTTCCTATCATCCTCTGCAGTGAATCCCTCAGAGAATGATATAAGGATTCCATGCAGATGATGCAATGATTTTTTTTATCTTTTTTATTTCGTGTTCTGTCTACACTTTCGACTATGCCACCAAGCTTTTAATGTATAACATTGTAGAACGACGCACACACTTGCTTCGAGTCTCTTCAATTTCCGTTCAGCAGAAAATGCACGCAAAATAAAATTACCGTACTATGAGCGCTTCTTATTCGGTTTTAGCGAAGCATGGAGAGAGCAGTGAAGATAAGTACAGGTCTGATCATCGCAACGCCTGTGGTTCGAGTCCAGTCGGCACCTTTTTTATTTTTTATCGTCATAATTAAAACACTCCACATTTTTCGGTCTCCAATTTTCTTGCATTGGACCGTAGCTCGGTATAGCTCATCCTCCGCTCATGCGGTTTCTTCTAACATCCTGTGATGATGTATCCCACATAATTGTAAGCAAATCTTACATCCCCCGGTGTGTAGGTATATCCACTGCCCAAATGCAGTAATTTTTTTTCCTTTGGAGGCAATTTAAAGTACACCAAACTTTCGACGTCGTTGAAGTGCATCATCTTTGATGTGTTATTTAGTAATATTAATTTTTTGCTGTGAAAGGATTGCTTTAGCAGTTATTCGAGTGATGTGTGAAATCATTTCTCTTACACATTGTTGCATGCTTCAGATCCATAAGAGCTAGATGATTAGGTAATTTATAGCTAGATACTGTCCATAGATGACTTGTGCCAGAGTAGTGAATTTTTGATTACTTATATGCTATACACATTTATTCAACAGCTATTGAAATGTTCCGCATCGTACCACTGAAACAAAATGTGATAACTTCAGAACTACTTAAAACGCTAATCCATACCGTATCCATTATTGAAACAAATTTCATCTGCATACACGTACCTAGGAACATCCTGTGTGTGATCTGCCCCAAAAAAAAAAAATTCTAGACCCCCGCATCCGATCGCGACAGTAAACCCACCAGCGTCACCGCCGTCGTTTGCCCCTATCAATGATTGGGTGAGATAAAAATTCAAGATCACACCGTCGTCCGAAATACTTAATCAGGCAGCACCATCCGTTCCTCCCGAAACCGATTTGGCCGTTCAGAATAGATTAACTTTCATTTGTTCTTGGCTCTGGCTCTGAGTCTCGCCGGGACTACCATTGACGACAGCGCGCTACGTTCTGCTGAGTACATACGAGTTTCAAGTGGGAACTCGGTGAAAATGAAATACAGTTCCATATCAATCGTTTTGCCAGATGATGGCGAGGTGGCTCATTCAAATCGATTCTAATATAATGCCTATACTTCCCGGTGCTCCAGAATTTACCGATGAATGAGGTATTAACAGACGGATCAAAAACTAGCGATAATGAACAATTTGCTTGGCCATAAATATGAATCCGTGCAGGTTGTGTGTGTGCTTAAATCATCCGCCATCGAATGCCTATTTTTGGAAGATCTTATGCCTATGGAACGTGAATTCGGACACTCATCCACCGAAATAACTGTCTTCAAAAATTGTACCGTAATTTCAAATCAAAAAGGATGCCTGGGCCGTTGCGGATCGGTATCGATCCTCCTCCTCGTGCTCTGAATATGTATGGAGCGTCCGAAATGATTTGAATATGCAATGAATCTGTGCCTAGGATCGCTCTCCCACTTCGCAGGCTAGATATCTCCTGGCAGTTTTCGTATCGATGATGAGTGAGTTTTTTTTTCCATTTTGTGAATTACTCTTTTCCTGGAGACTCTTCTTCTGGTTCGGTTGTTTTCTTTTCGGAATAATCACGTCGTATAAAAGCGACAGGATCGGTGAGATCAGTATCACACCGTTCCTATAGTTTGTGCTGTGAAGATCGAAGTTGATCCTTGGCCTAGCAGATAAAGGTGTATCGTTGCTTGAGTGCTCCCAAAACAAGTTGAGGTGTGAAAAGTGAAAACCATGGAAAAGTTCACGATGTTTTTGTTCAGCTCCAACACAATCTATCTGCTAGTGGCCTGCTTTTTGGTGACTCTGATTATGCTACTCTCGGAAGTGAGGCAGAAAATGAACGTGAAAAGTGATCTTGTGAAGCTAGTGAAGAGTTTTCTTTTCGGACAGTGGTGGTCAGTGGATTCGAAGGCAGATCATAATAACAATAAGAACAGCATCGGTTCGGAAGTGAAAGTGCTTCGGAAAGCTCCCGGTCCGAAGAGCTATCCGATCATTGGAAATTTGAAGGAATTGGGTGGCTACGATGTTCCGTATAAGGCGTTCAGCGTGTTGGCGAAGAAGTTCGGGTCGGTTGTGAACCTTAAACTTGGCTTCGTAGATGCGGTCGTAGTTAACGGAATCGAACACATCAAGGAAGTCTTGATCAACAAGGCGCAGTACTTCGACAGCCGTCCGAATTTCCGCCGTTATCAGCTGCTCTTTTCCGGCAACAAGGAGAACTGTAAGTATGCGACAGTGCCAAGTGCAAGACCAGAAGAGTATTGATTGTTTGTTTTTTCTTCTTCCTAAAGCACTTGCGTTCTGTGATTGGTCTGAGGTCCAGAAGGCTCGTCGTGACATGCTGGTGCCACACACTTTCCCACGTAATTTTTCCAATCGTTTCAACGAGCTGAACCATTTCGTCAACGACGAGATCCGCTTGGTAATTGGCGAATGCAACGTGGACAGAGTCATCGAGATCAAACCGATCATCATGAACATCTGCGCAAACGTCTTCTCGCAGTACTTTGCCAGTCATCGCTTTGAACTGGACGATCCAAAATTCCAGAAGATGGTAAAAAATTTCGACCTGATCTTCTACGAAGTGAACCAAGGTTACGCTGCGGATTTCCTACCGTTCCTGCTGCCGTTGCACCGTAGCAACCTAAATCGTATGGATCAGCTGGCCGAGGAAATCCGTGAGATCATGTTGGACACGATCATCAATGATCGGTATGATAACTGGGTAGAAGGCAGCACCGAGAATGACTACGTCGACAGCTTGATCAATCATGTCAAGTCCAAGATCGGTCCGGACATGGAATGGGAGACTGCATTGTTCGCCTTGGAGGACATCATCGGCGGTCACTCGGCAGTAGCCAACTTCCTCGTCAAGACTTTCGGTTACATCATTCAACATCCTGAAGTTCAGCAGAACATCCAAGCAGAAGTTGATCGGCTGTTGGAAGCGGAAGGCAAACACACCGTAGACCTGTCCGATCGCAACCGCATGCCGTACACCGAAGCTGTCATCATGGAGTCCCTTCGACTGATCGCATCACCCATCGTACCGCACGTGGCCAACCAGGACAGTCAGATTGGAGGTAAATATTTCTTTTCGTTTTATAAAGCGTTCGCTTTTCTAAAACCAAAATAAATATTTAAGGTTTCGACGTACCCAAAGACACGCTGATCTTTCTCAACAACTACGACTTGAGCATGTCGGAGGACCTTTGGGAAACCCCCGGAAAGTTCGTCCCCGAACGTTTCCTGCAAAATGGACGCCTCATGAAGCCGGATTTCTTCATCCCCTTCGGTGCCGGCCGTCGGTCGTGCATGGGCTACAAGATGACGCAGCTGATCAGCTTCTCCATCATCGCCAATCTGCTAAGATCGTACACAATCACACCGCTTTCCGGGCAATCCTACTTCGTTCCGGTGGGCTCGCTCGCAATGCCGGAGAAGTCATATGAATTTCAAATCAACCTTCGACATTGAAATCCTCGTTCTTCTTCCTCTCACAAGAACCCGCACAAACACGCACACTCACGCATCCTGATCCGCCACATGATTGGCAAAATACTCGTTCGCCATCGATCGCCGATTTGTAATTTAATTCCATTTCTCTCATCCATTGTCGCGTATGCAAATGTGTCCGCCAAAAAAACAGAACTGAGGACGCTTTGCATACGCTATCGAAGTCCTTGAAACCACGTGTTTCACTAGACAGTGATCGCAGAAGCGTGAATCCCTCCCTCCCCTCCCTTCTACATGTTTCAAGTGTTAGGCGAAGATTGTTGTTATAGTTGAAAATGTGAAAGTATTCATCGTATTATTACTATTATATTGAACTATTGCCCGACTTTTACCGCTGTGATGTAGTACAAGGAGTTCGAAAGCGAGAACTCTTAGCCGAGATAAACCAAGTCAAGACAAACGAGAGAAAGTGAGAGTGAGCATTATCGTAATAAGTTTAAGCAGATACATATACCTATACTGTGACTATTAGCTTGTAGTAGATTCCCTTCTCAACTGATTACCTTACTCGATTAGATAGCTAGTTGAGCATAGTGTTTGTTTGAGTAAGTTTTTTTTTTTTTAAATGAATAATTGCTAGGTAGAGAAAGTGCATGAAGCGTTTGCCAAAGATTTAGTGAAAACAAAAGTAAAGTTGATTTGTCAGCATCCGTCATTGATTGGTAAAGACTTGATATGTTGCACAAAGTAGGAACATTTTTCAAATTATAAACGATTCTAGTATAGCTTGGAGAAGTGAGGTTGCTTTGGCTTGAATGAATTGCTATATGCTATACTTAGAAGAATGTATTAAATAATATATTTTTTAATGTATTGATCCGTTTGTTTGCTCATCACTCGTAGATGTATCACACAGATTTGTCAGATATATGTAGGTGTATTTATTGAACTTTTATTTTTGAATTTTTACTGGGCAATTACCTGTTTCTCTTTAAGGTTGTTTTCTTAATCAATTTGATCGGAATTCTTGCCAAAAGATGCTCTGTACCGGCTAAAACATTTGTTTCAATAATAAGCATTTGCGGAAATTATTTTCAACCCCGATTGGAATAGGTACAAACATTGATTAAGGCGTAAGCATCCCAGCGATTGTCACACAACTTTGTTACGTTCAGTCCCTCCAGACAATAGCTACAGAGTTAGGCCTATTCTGCGCAGCGTGTGAAGTGATGGTGAAGTGACAATTGTCACCTCGGGTGGTCACCTCTTCTTCTTGTTCCTCACAGTTCGAAAAAGTAGTGTAAATTTCTGTTCAATATGATGCACATAAATGGAGCGTTTTCATTATATATCATGTAAAGTTCGAACACATTTCATGCAATGCATCAAATATTGTATACAAAAGCCCATCTTTGTAAACAACATTGTTTGCAAGTTGCTCGGTTGCGTGAAATGAAATACAAGTTTACGTGAATGAATGTTTACATCACAATTGAAATTCAGAATTTTTATCTGTGTACATTATCGGCGCCGGCTAGAGTCACCTCACCGGAGGTGACAATTCTCGCGTCACTTATCAAATATACCAATCTACATTGATTGATTCCCTTCATCGACTCTTTCTTTCGTTTTTCATATTTCGGGCTAATTTTTCTACATACATACACAGCTAAAAAAAAGTAGTGTACATTTCCGTTACTATGATGCACATTAATGGAGCGTCATAAATCATACAAATTTACATTATAAATCGTGTAAATTGATGAGACATGTTGTGCCATATTCCATATATTGTATGAAACATTCCACCTTTGTTTGCAACATTTCTTGCAAGCTGCTAGTTTACGTGAAAAGAAAGTTTACATGCATGAATGTTTGCATGCATGGATGTTTACATCACCAGTAAAATTCAGATTTTTTTAGTGTGTAAGGTACACCAGGGCAAGTTGAAACGGAAGCCGTAACTTCAACGCACCCAATGTAAACAGTCATCAGGTAGTTACAAACAGCGTAGCACTACACAGATAAAAATTCTGAATTTTAATTGTGATGTAAACATTCATTCACGTAAACTTGTATTTAAATTCACGCAACCGAGCAACTTGTAAACAATGTTGTTTACAAAGATGGGATTTTGTATACAATATTTGCTACATTGCACGAAATGTGTCAGAACTTTACATGATATATAATGTAAACGTATATGATATGTGACGCTCCATTTATGTGCATTATATTGAACAGAAATTCACACTACTTTTTCGAACTGTGTATGGAAGCATATGAAGGCTAGTTGGAGTGATGATATAGAAAAACCCGATTTCAAATGAAGTTACAAAAAATATCCTCAACATTTTAGGCATTTCAACTTGCCCTACATTTTTAAACCGTATGAGGCAAATCGAAATGAGTACAATGGGGCCAGTTGAAGTGGGGGATATTCCATTCTCAGTACAATAAATCACATCAATGTGTCAATATAGTCAATATAGGGGCCTCATAGCCTAGTCAGTAAAGGCACGGAAGAGATGAACTAGCCTCAGGCTAAAAATCTCTAAAATAAAGAAAAAAAAAAAAAAAAAAAAAAAGTAAAGGCACGGTATTACCAAGCCGGAGGCGGCGGGTTCGATTCCCGGTTGGAAATTTTCTCGACTTCCCTGAGCATAGAGTATCATTGTGCTTGCCACACAAGATACAAATTCATGCATTGGTATTGGCATCGAAAGCTCTCAATTAATAACTGTGGAAGTGCATTTATAACACTAAGTTGAGAGCACGCAATAAGCTAATATGCGCTAAGCAATAAGCTTGAAATGCGAATAAGAAAAAGAAGAACAATGTGTCAATATGAGAGTCGAAGAGAATCGATCGACGTAGATTGGACTATTTGAAAGATGACCCGAGAGTTGTCACTTCCCCCGAGGGGACAATAGTCACAGAATAGGCCTAAGTACTATCACATTTTTGACACGTTTAAAATTAATGTGAAAATAGATCTGGAAAGACGACACCGGTGGTTGAGTGGTAAGCGTGACCGTTTTCTCGTTTCAGCGTGTCTGGGTTCAATCGCAGTCTAGAGCGATGGGATTTTTTTGAGGCAAAACAATCTTTAGTCACGTCTTCCATCGGTAAAGCCGTCGGTCACGGCCCATGGAATCGATAGGTTCTAGGTGTACAAGAAACTAATGTTCAATTGGTAATCGACGCTCGGCGGTGATTTCACAAGCTGAGAAAAAAGCGATCAAAACAGATTAGAATTAATATCGAATATCATGAGCTTTAAATGATTCAATTATTTATGACTATATTGTACTGCATTCAACTGTATTACAGATTAAAATAATAATTACAGCATCTTTATTTTATGTTGAAAACCCATGGAAATCTGTCTAAGACATTTAAGGATTTAAGGCAAATTTAATTAAAATATTTTATTATAAAACTGATTCAAACTGGGGGCAAGACAGCTTTTGATCATGAGTAAAATTTGAGGTAATTTTGAGCAACTCTGAGTAACTCGAGTTGCTCAACATGCGATGCACGGCAACACAGCAACCTTGTTGTGTTCATTCCCCAACTGTCAAAGAAAGACGTTCAACGGTGATAAATATTTCTAAATTCTGCAGCTTCCCATTGTCGAAAGGTGAATCCTGATGAATGTGGGCGTCGTAGTGGAATAGCTGTATAAATAAAGAGAGAAAATGGTGGTTTACACTGGATAACCATCCATAGATAGATCCCGTGACCTTTCTACTGCTTCATGCCAATCCTTTATTAGCCGTTTTCATCCGAGTATAATGCAGGCTGTTAAAGGGTGTCCACGATGAAATTGCCACACTATGAAATTGCTCTAACTTTTTAACCGTTGGGTAGAATTTAATGAAAATTTGGGTGGATTTAGTTCATAGTGCATTATTTACATCCTGCAAGTTTTAAAGTCCTGTGATCAAAACTCGCGGAAATGGAGTCGAAAGAACAGCTCGTGCGTGATAAAATCTTGCGCATTCATCACGAGAATCATCACGATCGGAAGCCCAGAAGTGAAGGAAAAAGTATTCCGTACAACACCAAAAATCACAACCGCGTAGTTGGGGCCTTCAACCGAAATCCGAACGCCTCCGTTAGGGATGTGGCTAAGAAGCTGCACCTAAGCCGAAGTTTTGTCCAGAAGGCCAAAACTAAGGCTGGGCTTCGAACGTTCAAGGTACAAAAGGCCCCTGATCGCGACGAGAAGCAGAACAAGTCCGCCAAAACCCGTGCCAGGAAGTTGTACCTCAACATGCTAACGAAAGTTGAATGCTGCATCATGGACGACGAAACATATGTGAAGGCCGACTTCAAACAGATCCCCGGCAACCTGTTTTTCACGGCCAAGGATAAGTTCAGCGTTCCGGAGCATGTCCGCACTCAGAAGATGTCCAAATTTGCGAAGAAATTCCTGGTTTGGCAAGCCATCTGCACGTGCGGGAAGCGGAGTGCACCTTTCGTGACCCAGGACACGATGAACGGACAGGTGTACATAAAAGAGTGCCTCCAGAAGCGGCTGCTTCCTCTCCTGAAGGCCCACAACGTCCCAACAATCTTCTGGCCGGATTTGGCCTCATGCCACTACTCCAAGGACGTGCTGAAGTGGTATGCGGACAATAAGGTCAATTTCGTGCCGAAAATGTTCAACTGGGCGATTATGAAGCAGCACCTTCTTAAACGACCTAAGGTAGTGAAGACAGTCGAGGAACTGAAGAAAGTATGGGTTTACATGCAAAAAACGGTTGATTCACAGGTTGTGCAGAATCTTATGGCCGGGGTTAAGGCCAAGGTGCGGGCATTTGCGTATGGACTGTAAATAAAATACGAGTAAAATGGTAAAATGAAGTTTAATAGTTATTTCTCAATCCCTGAAAATTTGATGGCAATCGGATGAAAACTCGAATTTTGCGAATCAATTTTGTGTGTGGCAATTTCATCGTGGACACCCTTTATTGGTCAACGTTGACGATAGCATTTGCAGGTTCAAAATATGATAAAATTTCCGAAGTTCATTTGGTTAAATTAACCACAGATTGAATCTTCGAAAGACA